GGAGCGAGGGCTGGATGGCGTGCGAGGGGTGCGGGGAGAAGCATTGGAAGTGTTCCCGAGAATGGGATGTTGCTCCCCGCCGCCGTTTGACGTCCTGGTCACTGGCTCGGCCGCGGGCACGACGGCACGTGCCGAAGACTCGGTCGCACCGGCAGCGGGGGACGTCGAGGGCACATGAGACGAGGCACGGGCGGTAGGGGCAGAGTGGCGGGCGCGAGGGCGAAGCGGGGTGGTCATAGGGTCAGGGAAAACATGGTTACGGTCGTGGCGAGCGCTGCCATGTTTCGTGTGTTTCGCAGAACGATGAGTTTGGGAAGGCGAGGTGGTGGTGTTGCTTGGAGGTGACTCGGCACTCGGGCGTTTAGCACCGCGGACCTGGGTCCAAGAATCCTCGCCGCCGGACTCAGTGGCCATGTCCGCGATACAAGCAAGCGAGCAAGCGAGCGGACACGGTGGGAGCGAGGGCGCCGCCAAAACGCGGGCCGCAAAGAGCGGGGTTGCAGATTTTGTCTGACAACGTGGTTCACGCCAAGATGTCAGAAAAAAAAGGAGCTGTTCCAGCGTAACGTCATGACCTTCAGCTCCAGCCGGTGCAGACAGGTTTACCTTGGCAAAAAAGGCTTTGACAAAGGTGTCCTTGCAAGCACGGTTCAAGAGCTCGGACAAGCCCGACGTCAGACTTGGGGGCAGCGTGTAGAGGTGGTTGATGAGGCTAGGCACGTACTGCATGGCCGTGAGGAGGGCCTGAAGCGAGACACCGGTCGTCAGCATGTCATTGAGCTTGCCAGCAATGTGCTTTGCCTTGTCGTTCAGCTGCTTCTTCATCCACTCGCGACGGCCAATCGGCGTTCCCAAGACCGTCATGCCCGTGTTGGCCGTCTCGCGCACGGCATCTGGCAATACAGACTTCATAGCAGTGATGGAAGCCGAATGGCGGCAAGGCATGTAGTATTAGAGGCACAATCTGAGACGGTATACTTTACCACGTAGTGTGTCCTCTGGTACTTGATGTTGTCCCACCTTGTTGTGTAACATCTTGCTGTACCATCTTGGTGTATCATCTTGTTGTGGCATCTGTTGGTCCCAACAGATTGCTGATATCGCTTCCACCTGTCTTCAGTGTGATAGTCCATTCTCTGTCTCCACTGTGTGTGTGTGTTTCCACCTGCTATAAATGGGAGCGATCTCCCTGGATCGGTACCATTTTCCTTCTTGACCTCGGTCGTTCCACTTCCCTCCTTCTGTCTTGTTCTGTCTTGTTCCTTCGCCTTGCTTCAATCCATGTTCTCGTATGCACTTCGACTGGTTGGATACCTCTGTGACAATCGCCTTGTCCACACACATTACACTGTACTGGACATACACCTTTAATAGGTTATGGGCCTCGGTTGTGTACTCTTCCAACCTCTCTTTCGTTACCCTGCCTTGCGCTTTCCAGCTGCTTCGTTTCCCTCCT